TTTATTATTGTTAAAATGTTCATCATTTTGAACGCTTGCAGATGATCTACATAAACATTTCTTTTGAAATTACCTAATTCCGTTCGATATTCTTTTCTATCTAAATTTCAATTTTATGGCGACAAAAGAGAAGATTATCTATTGGTGAATATCTATTTGATTAAATATCAATTTATTTACCTAAGAACTTTTTTCATGCACACTTCAAACATTTGGAGCATTGAGCACCCTTGAATGGTTAACAGAAAAGAATAAAAAACCAGCTGCTTGTATCCTTTTACAGAAGACATTTGTTTGAAAAATATTGCCCTCATGTTCATTCTCTCGCGCGAAAGAAGCAATAAAAGAGAATAAGAACAAGAAGAATAAAGAACTTTATTTTCCTTTAACGTACATATACCTACAAACAATATGCTCACAGCATTAAACTGCATTAGAGGGAGGGAAAAAACGAAGTTCCAATTTCCTGTTCAGCTGATAGATACGCATGTGAGAACTTCACATTCTATTGTTGAACGTGATCAAGAACAGAGGTGTCAAGCGCGGAAATAAATTAAAAACAAGCAACGACATTAACGGTTTATAAGATTTCTATTAAAATTTGAGTGAAGTTTCGTTCATAATAAACAGAAAGTTTAGTTAAAGATAAAAATGAGTAAATATACGAACTTTGACAATGCAACGCGAAAAAAAAGCTCAAAACTTTGCAAGCTATTTAGTGATATCGAAAAATCAGATAATAATAAAAGAAGCGAAATTATGAAAATGGTTTCATCGTACTCGATCACTTCGCCGTACAGCAAAATTCAAGATTTTAACAGTAAGACGAAAGTCGTGTGTGAAAACACTGATCTTTCAATGTTTTTTGATCAATGTAAAGTTATCTTTATTGGCGATGAGAAGTGTGGGAAAACATCACTCGTAAATAGATTCACCTTGTCATCATTTGAGCAAGAGTACAAACCGACACTCGATATTAATTATAATTTAAAATATTTTGATGTACTCAATACTGAATACAACGTGGGATTTTGGGATATGCCGGGTCAAGAAAGTTTGAAACTTATCACTCGATCACATTTTAAAAATGCAAATGTAATCGTTGTTGTGTTTGACCTTACACGACCACAAACACTTATGAACGCTATTAAATGGATGGAGGAAGCACTCGCAGAAAATGACAAAAGCAACCCGCTAAGATTTATTGTAGGAAATAAGAGCGATTTGTTAAGTAAGAAAGCGTTTGAAGGCTTGGAAGCTCATGCTAGGATAATTGCACAAGATCTTGATGCTGAATACATTTCTGTGTCATCAAAAGAAGGAACAGAAGTGAATAATTTATTCAGAAGGTTCACATCATTAGCTTTCGATAAGTCAGTTCAAAAACTTATCATGCCATCAGACTATAACAAAGTTAAAAACAATATTTCTAGTAAGTTTCTAATTTAAAAAACTAATTTTATTTAAAATTTCCTGAATTCATTAGATATTCATTAAATGTTGGATTTCTCTTTCATTTTTTATTCAGAATTGGGAACATTCAAGCAAGACGAGAAGAAAAGAAAGAATTTTTGGATGTGGTTGACTAACTGTCTTTGAGTTTATTCTTCTTAAATCTATTTTGATTATTAAAATATTTTCATTTATGTACCTAGATATGCCAAAATCGTAAGAATTTAATATTAAAATAAAAAAAAAACATTTCAACTCTCAATTCAAAGTTGTTTCCTTAACCACAGCAGTTGTTTACAAAATCAAACATCGATGAACATAAAATCTTTAGAATTCATATGTTTTAATCAGCTATTTCTGTAAGACTAAAATTAAACAATGGATGATAATATTACTGAAGTAAGTATCTCAAAGTTATTCACAAGTTCATCCAATCAAAATTTACAAAAACTTCAGACAGTTGAAAAAACTGATTCCACAGATATTCTCGATATTGAAACAGCTTTAAAGCGCATCAAAATTGATCGAGATTGCCACCCTTCTGCTGTTAAACCAAAACATTTCATCAAACTTCAACTCACTGAAACAGATGACATCACTTTGTTCGAAGCTGTAAATTTAACAGTTCCAAAAGGAACAGAAGAAGCTGCTGCTGTTGAAAAGTACAATGCTGACTATGAATATTTAAAACAAGGTGCTGGTAGAAATCGACGAACTTCCGATGCGGAATCTCAAACTGAAACTGTGTTAGTAAAATCTCGAAGCTCAAACACAGATCGAATCAAAACGGGAGAAAAAGATTCATTTGTCAGCAATTTTGAAATGTTTGACACTTATGCTGAACTTGAACAGAAAACAAAAGAATTGGAGCTTGATGACGACGAACATCGGAAGATGAAAATAACAACTTACACTAAAAAGGGAATGGAAGATACTGATGAAAAATTATCCAAAAGTGAAAACTTTCGTTTGTCTTCAATGATACTTCAACGTTTGTTGGCTGGAAATATTTTTCACGAACATCAAAAAAGATTTCGAAGCATGACACTGCCAGATCCCTTAGAATTGAACATAAAATATCTTTACCGTTTAGAAAAGCTTTGGGCATACAAAAGCAGTGAAACTACAGGAATGAATGTTGTCGACATGTGTTGGTGTCAGAATAATTCTGACCTGTTAGCTGTTGCATATGGAAACTTTAACTATCGAGACAACAAGCGTTCAATATTCGGCAAAGTTCTCATATGGAGTATTAAGAACCCCGTCAATCCCGAAAGGCAATACAAATATGACGTTCCAGTAACCGCTGTAGCTTTTTCAGAAATGAAACCTCAACTGATGGCTGTTGCATTATACAATGGAACAGTAGAAGTGATAGATGTTGCTGACATCCATCCCAACAAAGAACATTCTATTGTAGCGAAAAGTGAAAGAAAATCATCTCCTGGTTTTGAACCAATTTGGCAGATTCAATGGATTCAAGCTAACAATTTTGAATACATCATGGCTGCATCGCAGGATGGTAGAATCACAAAATACAAAATATCAACTGGACCTTATCTTGTTGGATATCTCCAATTACATCTTCATCGTGTTGAAGGAACTGTTGAAGCACTCGATATCGAACACAAGAAAACCTTCATTGAAGCTTATCGTCATCCACAGATTTTATGTCTTCAAAAGCATCCACAGAACATTGAAACGTATTTGGTTGGAACTGATGAAGGATGCTTACATGTTTGTTCTACAAACTTCCCCTATCAACATCTTAGCGTTCTTCAAGTTCATAAAAGTGGAGTTCACTCTATTGATTACTCTCCATACTCCCCAAAAATTTTTCTAACTGCTGGAAATGATTGGACAATTCGAATATGGATAGAAAGCATTTTTGAGCCTATCATTGAACTATCAGATGGATTTAATCCAATATATAATGCTTATTGGAGTCCCATACATTCAACAATTATAGCCAGTTGCACTCAAGATGCCGTTCAATTTTGGGATTTACGGCGGAAAAATAAAAAGCCGGCATCGATACGAACATTCGAAGGCAAAAAACTGACAGTAATTAAATTCAGTCCATGTGGAAGATCTTTAATCATAGGCGATACTGAAGGAAATACTCACATCTATGGCTTAGAAGATTTTCCATTTGCTCCACATTACCAATATGATGAACTTCAAAAAGCACTTTGTCACTCATTGACAAATAAGCATAATCTTGAAAAATCTGTTAAACAACTCGGATTTCTTGGATATCCAAGTCCGACAAAAAAGTTCTAAAATACAAATAATTTTCAAGATCACCTTCAAATACTGCCAGCAGTATGTAAAGGAGATCAAAAACATTTGGGATTAAAAACATAATATGCGGAATTTGCATGAATTTTCTTGATAAATATTTATTGCATTTTAATAATTTAAAAGTAGCAATCAAGCACACTAATAATAAAGAAATCTTTTAATTAAAGCATTACACAGATAAGCCGAACTTTACATTCTTCTCACTTGTAAAACAGTCACTGTTCCATTAACATCATCAAATTTGCATATCACATTGTTTCCATCAACTTGAAAGTTATAAATTTGAGATAAATATTTTTCTCGAACATATACAGAGCGTGGATCATTCTTAAGAATATCTTCAATTGTTTTCTGATTAAATTTAAATTCATTGATTTGTCCTAAAGCATTTTCAGAGAAAATAACTGTCAATGTTGGATGATTATTTATCCACGCTGGAACTTTTACATCAGCTAAGTTTTGCTGGGATGAACTCGAACTAGTAGGTGTGGTTGTTTCATCTTGTGAATCTTCCCCCTCTGGTTCTTCTCGTGCTTTCATTGATGCAACTTCCGGAGTGAGAGTTCCATTGTCGCTGAATTTTTCAGGGCAGTCATATCGAGGAATGTAAGGTTTTATATCAATCACAGGTGTGTCATTTACCATATCACTTCCATAAAAATATATGACAGATCCCTCAATATGATCTAAACGAACGAGTGACATTCCTATAGGATTAAATCGATGAGGACTCCTGGTAGCAAATACGCCAACTTTCTTTCCATCCAACCGAGGAGGTGAAACTTTCGGTTTGAAGTGACAAATATTACGATGGAAATAGTAAATTATCCAAAAGTGACTAAATTCATCAAGTGTCTCCAAGCTCTGTTGTGGATTCGTATAAACGTCTTTAAGCAATTCAATTCTTGAAAATATTCCTTCAGCTATGTTTGCCTGTCGTGGCACCGCTCGCTTATCTGTGAAAATAGTTTTGATATATCCAATTGGCTTTAAGTCTATTGATAAGTCATTCTCCTTTGGTTCAATATTGCTTTCTTTCATTGGTTCACTTATTGACCAGCCATGACATCTGAAATCTTGTAATGTTGCTTTCATTAACTCGACGTCTTTGCGATGAACATGATTTAAGTTGTTTATTTGAGATCTTCAAAAATTATTATTTTTATTTACTTTTTCCTTAGAAAAAATTAGGTATGTGAAATTAGGTACCTTAAATTTGATATTTCATTTCTTGCTATTTCCAATTGAGACTTGATTTTCTCAATTTCTGCTTCACACATTATTTCTCTTATAAAATTTACTTTTTCTTTAATAAATTGAGTGAGAAAACTTGACTTAAAAGTTTCA